TTTTGCTCAGAGTTCTTCCCTGATCCCATCGATTTCAGGGGAATCGGCCCCATAGTCCCAGGCTCAGCAGGGTTAGGAAGGTGTAAAGAGTTTGCACAGTGACCCTGTACCAGAGTCGTAAAATCCCGCAGTGAGTGGAGATCCGAAATCCCCTTCTGCCGTCCCCAAAGGGTCTCCAGGAACACTTCCCGTCCCTTTGGTGTATACAGGGGCATCCAGCCAGCCAGCGCATCTGGAAACAGCTGTCTGAGAACAACGGTAAAACTTGGCTCTCACTTCATGTCTTTTCCCAGAGCAGGTTTTCCAGTTCCCAAGTCCAGCGTGATCTCCCAGCTGGACCGAGGGGAAGAGCCGTGGGTCCTTGATCTCCAGGGGTCCCAGGCTAGAGAGATCCAGAGAAACATCCCCAGAGGTGAGAAATTGGTTAAACGGATGTGGAAACCGTCTGTCATTGACTTACAGTGCTGGGATTCCCACGCAGGCCCCTTGTGCTCCCCCTGTTTTAACTCATTTCCCCCCCAGGTCAGGATTGTGCCCAGAAGGTGTCATGTCTTCGTGGCAGACATAATTCAGGGCTTTCCAAGCGCCATGACTGACATCTAGCAGGAGCTCCCTGCCCCCTGAGTGTTCAGACGGGATATGGAGGCAGAATTGGCTGTTCTCCTTCCAGGTGAGTGACCTACAGCCAGAGAGTTTTCCCTAGTGGCACCTGTCAGTTTGCCATGCATGTCTTCATGTATCCACCCCAGCTCACTCACAGCTTCTTCTCACCATCCGTGGTGGTCGGAGCTCTCCATCAGCTGTAGTTCACGGGTTCCCTTTTTCCTTAGCCATGTTTTCCCCACTGGAGATTTGTTTATTTCTTATTTTATAAAGTTTTTGTTCTGGTTGTTCTCTGGGGCTCTTTGACCTGGTACCGGGCGGCTCGGTTCTGACACAGTCTCCTAGAGTTCAGCACTGTCTCACTTGCAGGGTGTCTAATCCACTGAACAGCCCTCACACCCATGCTCTATTCTGCTTCGGTGAGGGGCACGTGACAGACAAGTGCTCTATTTGTGGATCTTTCAAGAGGAGAACACACAAATCTAGGGACAGAAGAGTAAACGGTTCCCTCGTGGAGCGTGCTGTACAGCCCTTCTCAGGCCAGAGCTCTCCTATGGACCTTTCTGACTCGCCTCATGGCTTGAAGTCAGAGACAGACACAAGAGAAGAGGAATTGTTCCCCTTTTCCGCCAAGTCTTGTAAGAGCTGTAAGTCAGTCTCACGGCAAGACTTGACTTATCAATCAAAGAGCTTTTCTTCTTCAGAACCGGACTCTGGGAGCTGGAAACCCTCAGCAGAGTCCTCATGGGAACTGCCAGGTACCAAGGTCAGAGCGCAGGTAGAGACTAGCTGCTCCCCGCTGCCGACAGTGAATCAGAGCAGGAAATCCAGCCACTGACTCCAGGACCAGAGCATGTTTCCTTGAGAATGGCTCTGACAACTTCTAAGAGGCATGAGTTTCAGAACTGCCAAATTATTATTGAGCTGTCATGAGATCTGCTCTGTCTGAGGGTGCCGGATTCCCCTTTGCTGAACACGACCCAGCATTGGGTAGTCATTGGGTGCAGCCTTTATTGCAGGCAGAGCTGCCTTCAGCGCTGGCTAGAACATCTGTAGGACTGATACCATCAGCCATGGTGCCCCCGGTACTGGTTCATTGTACACAGATGGTTCCTGCAGGACTCGAGCCATCAGTTTCGACATGAAACCTAGCACCAAAGGGCCTGCCGCATTACCAGATCAGCACTTCCCCAGAATATCACGCTGCCAGTGACTCCTTTAGTGTCTAAAACTCAAGGTTTATTAGGAAGGAAAAGAAAGAGAAGAGAGTTGTTAAATAGTGAAAGCAATCAGAGCCATACGCATGACTTCAGATGCCATATGCCAAGTTCTTAGCAACACTGGTGAATTTGCTTGTTTGTGGAGTCCCCCTGGAGCACATCCGTGGCCTGGATGGGTCCCTCAGCCCTTCCGTTTGTGGAGACGTTACTCCAGAGGTGAGGAGCGGGATGCTCTGCCATGTGGCTTGTACATCCTTTGTCCCAAACACAGGCTCCCAGCACAGGGGCATGGAAAGGTATTTGGAGTCCCCTGTCCACAGGCACGTCCGTACTGGTCCCGCTCACTCCTAGGGACAGCCCCTGGGTGTACAGCCCCTTTCCTAGGCCATCAAGCAGGCTGAGGAATGCTGATACCAGTCTGCCTGGGGGTGTCCCCCAGATACACAGCACAATACACCACACCTATTTGTAAGGCACAGTGCAAAGATGATCGTACATAGAAACAAGCGTGTCATAGTTAGCGAATCATCACTCTTCCACTGATCCCTGACATGGCGTATCTGGTCTATGATTCATTGCCACTTTCTCATATTGGTATCGATAGTTTTATAAATGGTCACCCCTGTTCCATGGAGTGTCACAACCGGTACTGGACATATTGCACATGTCTGTTCCCCCACCTGCCCAGAGAGCACTATGTTAGGATGCAGGTGCAAATGACCTTAGATGGTGCCGGGGCAGATCTGCCCCTCATACACTCAGCTGAATGATGAAGACATGCATGGCGCAGATCCCACTACAGACACGACTCTGACTACAGTGCACTTAGTGTTCACACACCTAGAGCGGAGTAGACATGAATGGAATAGACATGGGCCACATCTTGAAAAGCAACAATGACTGTACAGGCAGGTAGCTATTTTTTCCCTTTTCTCGTTCTCCCTAGGAAGACTTTGGGGGGGATTCAACTCCTGATTTTTGTCATTCTTCCTAGCCGTTGTTTTGCTTTGTGTCCCCACTTCCCTGTTCTCCTTTTCTGACCTTCCCGTTCCCCCGGCACAGGGACTGACTCCTGTCCGGATTCTCTCTGTCCCAGCAGGTGATGAGACGCTGAGTGAGAGCAATGAAGAGAATCCTTGTCCCGCAGGTCCTGAGCGAATGGAACCAAAGGGGGCGTTGCTGGGAAGGTGTGAAGTGGATGATCCCCAGAGTCATGGGCAGGCCAGAGAAGCAGGAGGGAAACCCCCCCGGGAAGACACTGGGTGAATCCACTCACCGAGGGGGAGGTTCAGAGGATCCCAATGCGGCCACAATCCAGGCGAGAACCTGCACTAAGGAGAAGCAGTTTGAATGTGCCGAGTGCAGGAAATGCTTCAGTTGTAAAGGACACCTTGTTAGACATCTGAGAGTCCACACAGGAGAGACCCCCTATCACTGCCCTGAGTGTGGGAAACAATTCAATGACCAATCAATCCTTATTAGACATCAGCGAACCCACACAGGAGAGAGACCCCATAAGTGCCCTGATTGCGGGAAATGCTTCAATCAGAGGTCAGACCTTATTGTACATCAGACTGTTCACACGGGAGAGAAATGCCATAAATGCCCTGACTGTGGACAAACCTTCAATCAGCGTGGGCATGTGACTAGACATCGGAGGACTCACACGGGCGAGAGACCCTACGGATGCCCCGAGTGTGGGAAAAGGTTTGCTTCCACCTCCGAAATTATTATACATCACAGAGTCCACACAGGAGAGAAACCCTATAGCTGCCCCGACTGTGGGGAGAGCTTCAAAAGTCAATCTGGCTTCAATGTCGATCGGAGAAGGCACACGGGAGAGTGCCCCTAGCAATGTTCCGTCTATGGGGAAAGGTACAAGTCCAGGACCTCTCTAACACGCCACATGAAACACCACACCGACTAGTACTGGCCACTTCCCCGCCTCCTCTCTCTGCATCCGTAGAGATGGGGGGAATCATGGGGATCATAAACAATTGCCCAACGCCCTAGGGAGCCAAGTGGCTCCACTATTGACGTGAGTGCTGTGTGTCTCAATAAGATGGAGGCACCAGGCGAGTGACATTATTATTACTGTATTGCATTATTCTCTGACCCTCTCCCATCCCTTCCCGGTGCTCTCTGTCAGGGGCAGGCCGAAGGGTTCAGCTGGGTGTCCTGGTCCCTGTTTTCAGCCAGGGGCTCGGTTCACATTATTGCACACTGGGATTATTTCGGAAATTGCTGCCCCGGGAGGCATTTTCTCCCTGTTTCAGCATGGGGCGGCGGGGAGCGGAGGGGTCTGAAATTTCTGGGAAGTCGGGTGTCTGTGGAGTCTTTATTGCTCATTGAATGATTTTCTCAGTATTGTTCAGTTATTTGTTCCCCCCAAATAAGATGCAAATAAAACTTTTCTGGCAAATCCCATTTTCCTGAGCAGCCTGGGAATGTCCTTGGTTCTTGAGCTGTGGGAGGGGGAGAGGCCAAGTGTCCCAGACTGGGTGAGTTGTCTCCCTCTGCAGGAATCACTCATTCCCCATGTTCAGCCCTTTCACTGATGTCCCAGCCCATCCAGGTTCATCCGTGTCTTTGCTCTTGCAGCTCTGACGGCCTCTGAGCTCGATCTTTGGGTCTTCCCTGCCCTCCACAAGGGTAGGGGAGAAACAGCTTCAGAAGCAGAATCCAGGATCCCTGGCTGGGTGGCAGCCCCAGAGGGGACACACAGCTGGAGACGATGGGTAGATGGACATTTCCAGATGGGCAGCAGCCCGTCTCCGTCTCTCCAGCAGCGTCTCCAGCATCTGTCCCCAGCTGCTGTGTGCCCAGCTCAGTGAGGAATCCAGTGACATTTCCCATGGACACAGAGCAGCTGCAGGGCCAGAACATTTCATATGTGTAAGATGGCAAAGCTGGGTAGGTGGGGGTGAGAATAATTTGCCATGCAGAGACCGTAGGGGAGGGCAAACACGGGCAGCACGAGTGGCTGAGGGAGACTGACAAGAGGCCGGGAGTCGGAGCCAAGGACCCAGGAGTTTGATAAAACAGCAGCAATGGCCAGTAACAAGCAGGGGCATTTTCAAAAGTGATACATTCATCACCCCATGGCCCCCTCCTTCCAGTGCCCCTTACTCACCCCCTCCCATCCCAGGAGGAGGGGGCCGTGGGGCAGTGTCAGTGAGTTCAGAGCTGGGGGTATGAATGGGGGTTACACCCGGCTGCTGGAGCTCTGTGTATCGAGGTACGAGGACGTCACAGTGGCCGTGTGAGCCCCCCACCGTCCTGCCGACGTGGCTTAGCCCTGACCCCTGCTGGAACCTCTTCCTGGGGAGGAACCGTCCCTGCGGCTTGGTCAGGCCTGGGCCTCCCTGCGGAGATGGCCGGGGAAGCTGCCGTTAATGTGAGTGACGACGTGAGCTTCTGTGAGCCTGGGCTGGGATCAGTGACTGGGGCGTGAACGGCCCCAGCTCCCCTCACTGCCCCCCTGAGCCAGCTGGTCCCCTGCCCCCCGCAGTGCGGTAACAGCGACGCTCACACTTGGTGCCACCCCCAGTGCCCCAGCGGGGAGAGCGAGGGCCTGTCCCAGGCGCAATGGGCACATTCTGCACCAAGGGAGACTGAGGCTGGAGATGAGGAAACACTTTCTCACTCCAGGGCAGTGAGGCTCTGGACCCGGCTCCAGGGGAGGCTATGGGATCCCGTCACTGGGGGTTTCTAAGAAGAGGCTGGACAAACCCCTGCCAGGGATGGTCTCGGCCCTGCCCCAGCGTGGGGGGCTGGACTAGGTGACCTCTCGAGGTCCCTTCCAGCCCTGCATTGCTATGAGTCTAGGTTACAGCTGTGCTGGGGTTGGGCCCGGGCCTGGGGGCTCTAAGCATGGTGAGTGGCACACGGCAGAGTTAACGCATTAGTGACCCAGGCAGTGGGCGGCTCCATGTCCCTGCCAGGGTCTGGGCTGGCATGTGTCTGGCTGTACCCAGCTCAGCAGGGTGTTACTGGGCTGTGTGGACAGTCCCTAGGGTTGGCACCTGTCCAGGTTTCCCAGGATCGTCCCTTTGTCCAGCTCGCTGTCCTGGGAAATCGGAATCTGCCCAGGACATGACTAGGCCCGGGTGTGTCAATGGCTGTAGGGAGGAGCTGCGGGGTGGCGGTGCCTGTGCAGAGGGAGCTCTGGCTCCAGAATGCCCCAGACCCGCGGGGATGCTGGGGAGCAGCGAGTGAGATGGGGAGCTCGGGGCCAGCAGGGCCAATTTACACCGCGCAGGTGCTGGCTGTGGGGGGCACCGTGGGGTCATGGGGGGCGGGGTGGATCTGGCACCATGTCCTGCTTGGCGAGAAACAGGAGCCTGTGGGGGCTGGTGCCGTCTCCCAGGGGTGGGAGGGGGACATGGCGCCCGGGGGTGGGAGGAGGACGCGGCGCCTGGGAGTTTGAGGGGAACACAGTGCCTGGGGTGAGGGGACAGGTGATGTATGTGGAGCTGGCAGATATCGTGGTTTTTTTGCTCCTCAGAGGTGGCGACCCAAACAGGACCCTCAGCGATGTTTGTGTAACTTCCCTGGGTGCCCCGCGCTGTGCGGTTGGATATTCTGGGGTGCATGTACCCCTGGGCCCGTGGTGCTGCAAGGTGTGTGCATGTCCCTGGGCTCTCTGATTCCTGCTGAAGCGGCCCAGACTCTCCCAGCATTCACCATGGCGCACGCACACAGTCATGCAGAAGATGGGAGCGAACACACACACACAGCTCACCGCTGGCTGTGACGCACAAAAGCTGCCATGTGGACACAGTGTGA